AATTTCTTCACATTTGGCCATTCTATTAGTGTCAGTTTTATGCATATCTCAAGTCATGGTTATTCTGACTTCAAAGGAGTATCCAAAATATTGTTCCTTTTCTTTTGTCCTGGAACTACAGGAAATCACATTAACCCACATTAACTTTTGTTCCCATAGGCGTTGTTCTCTCAGCCAGTGCTGCAGCTAGGCGGAGCTGGCTGGCACACCTGTGTGAATATTTTGTCAAGCTTGCACTGCATCAGGACCTCATTCGCATTGTACTCAGTGTGAGCCCAGGCGGTTACTCAAACAGCAACCAGGAAAATCATAATATTTGATTTGGTCTCAGCATAGCAAACCCTTGGTCCTTTTGGTTGACATACCATCGACATTGTAGTTGTACAACTAAGAGCTGTTGCAGTGACTTCCTTGTGGCACCGCTAGGACTTATTATGACTAGGGCTGGTATTACAGCAGGCTTTTTGATCCTTTATTAAGTGGTCCATGATGTTTCCAAATTTTACTTGAAATTATTAAAAGAAGATAAAGTTTCCGTACTGCATATACATATTTTTCATCAACTTGTCCCTCACTAAAGTGTTGTTCATTCATAGTCAAATATAGTATGTTTGTAAACCCTAATAATCCCATAAATCTAAAGCTGTTGGGACAAATAAAGGTTTCTCTTACCTACAAACTATAATGCAAATCTACAATATTCGATAACTTACCTTTTTGATTTACATTATGAAATGTTTATGCAGCACCCTAAATTATAGTTAATAATTTTCAGACACAATCTGTAAAGACGGGGCCTTACAGATAAAAATGTCCCAGGTCTCCAGCCAGCAGGGAATTTAATAGCATCTGTTTGAAACATTTCGAGACTGAGAAAAAGATACATTTTCCCTGAGAACACTTCAGCCCCCGTGCTCCTTAGGGGGCCCATGTCCTGACAGGTACACAAATGGGATATCGTACAATGAGGTATCCTTCAAGGGTGTGTTACTGTAAGCGGAAGACTGGGACTTACTCATCCTCAGAGCAAACAAGACATGTCAAACACAAATGGAGACAGAAAAACACCTTTTCTTTGTGGGAACGGACAGACAAAACAACTTTGTCACAACACACTCTTTCCTTTGTTGGGAGTTCTTTACATCCCCTCTGTTATCTATATTATCAAGTCAACATAAAAAAAATCTGTTCAGGTTCTGCTTTTGTCCAGGATGGGTTTGAACTACTTTTCCTCAAATCTCTTTATCTAAATCTAATAGCAAAGCCATTTTCATCCTTTTATATCACCTGGTTGCATCATGTTGGAGAGCAACTTTAAAGAGGCTTCTCTGTTGAGCAATAAGGGATACTGTCTTACTAGTAGGAGCTTTTTAAAGCATTGGACAACCAACACACAGACACTCTGGATGTTTGAAGGTCATTCTAACACAGGTTACTATAATATATTTGTTGCCTACCTTTCTTTGTTGCTGCGTTAAATCATATATAATACTTTTTCATGCAATTCAAATACTGCTTGAGGTCTTCTTTTTGTACAACAAAACATCTCTGCTAGATGTGCTAAAGATAAATTGAATTGACCCTAATATAAAGTAATAGAGGCACGGGTCCTCTGTGTTGAGAAGAAGAGTTCTGACACTGCAGTATGGTTATAGATCTAATTATAGATTGAAGAAAGAGATTTAAATTCGGACGTTTGAAAAGACCTCTGATGGGTAGCTGAACAAAACCTTTGGATCCAAAAGGAAGTTGGAGTAGAGTCACAACACTTACCATAACTAACACCTGTTATTTATGGTATTTGATAGAGATTCCACCTGAATCCATTTGGAGATTAATTAAGGTTGTTTTACTCTTAGAAGACTCCTAGAACAAACCCAATAGTTGCTACAAGAACTACTTCTCAATCGAGGCAAGGCTCTACAGCAGGGGGGCGGTTGCCCCCCCTGTCCCCCATGTAGCTCAGCCCCTGTCTATGAGGAGTATTTAGTCTTCCTCCTTCACCTGTTAGAGCTTTTACCCAATCTTGGATACTTGGAATGTGATAGAATAGAATGGATGTAGAAAAGAAAATACAGAACTGTTGGGATCCAGGGGTTTTCCCTCGAGAGGGCGATGTGGATCCCTTTCTGTGGGTTTCTGTTTATCCGTTGGGATCCAGAGGCTTGCCCACCAGAGGGCGCCGTGGATCCTTTCCTGGGAGCTGGTGCTCAGCACTCACAGCTGATCACCATCAGCTCATTATTAACCTCTCCCTATATAAGCTGGTCGAGAGCTCCACTCTGAGCGGGATTGTTGAACTGAACTGTCCTTGCCATGGTAGCAAGCCTGAGCCACCCTGCCTGTTTGAACCTGTAAGTCTGAACCTGAACCTGTACCTGAACCTAGCCTGCTCTGTCTTATCTGCCTCCCAGGAGGGAAACCTGTGTTTTTCCAATAAATATTGGACTTTATCCTGCCTCTGTGTCTGTGAGTTCTGCATCTGGGCTAGTAAAACCTACCTGATCATGACAGAAAAATCCGGCCAACAGACTAGCCCAGCAGACTCAATGGAGACATACCTGACGATGTTTGAGGAGGGACCGACTGACTCCACGGAACCACCTTGGATGGTGTCGTTCCGTTGATGGCTGGAGATTCTGAGCCGTCTTTAGACCCCTGAGCCCGCTCTGAGCCGTCTGGAGACCCCTGAGCCCGCTCTAAGCAATCTGGAGACCCCTGAGCCCGCTCTGAGCCGTCTGGAGACCCCTGAGCTCGCTCTGAGCCGTCTGGAGACCCCAGAGCCTGCTCTGTGTCTTCCAGAGATTCCTGATTCGGAGCCACAGTCAGTGGTTTCCGGTGTGACTGATTCGGAACCGCAATCGGCGGCTTCCTCTGTTCCTGTTTCGTAGCCGCAGTCGGCGGTTTCCAGTGTTCCTGATGTGGAGCCGCAATCGGCGGCCTCTTCAGTTCCTGATTCAGAGCCACAGTCGGTGGTTTCTTGTGTTCCTGATTCGGAGCCGCAGTCAGCGGTTTCCGATGCTCCTGATTCGGAGCCGCAGTCAGCGGTTTCCTGTGTTCCTGATTCGGAGCCGCAGTGGGCGGCCCTGTCTGAGCCTGTTGCAGACCAGCAGAAGCTGAGACGGCGTTCTCCTCGGAGCTTCCTGCAGAAGCGGAGACGGCGTCCTCCTCGGAGCTTCCTGCAGAAGCGGAGACGGCATCCTCCTCGGAGCTTCCTGCAGAAGCGGAGGCGGCGTTTCCCTCGGTGCTTCCTGCTGAAGTGGAGGTGGCGTCCTCCTACAAGGTCCCTACGGCTTCTGAGACTCCGGCCCCCGGAGTGTCTGCCTCTGCTCCGGTCCCGTGGCCAGTCACCTGACACTCTGCCCTGCTGCCGGTCCCACGGCCGGTCACCTGAGACTCTGTCTTGCCTCCGGCCCGCGGCCGGTCACCTGAGACTCTGTCTTGCCTCCAGCCCTGCGGCCGGTCACCTGAGACTCTGCCTTGCTGCCGGTCCCACGGCCGGCCACCTGATACTCTGCCTTGCCTCCGGCCCCACGGCCGGCCACCTGAGACTTTCCCTGTCCTCGCCCACCCTGGGTGGGTTGTTTTGATTTCTGGACTCTGTTCTGTTTCTGTACCTGGCCCTCTTTGCCTGCTTCCCCCTCCGCCCGCCCTGGGTGGGTTGTTTTTGTTTTTGGGTTTTTTTGTTTTTGGGCGTCTGGTATCCGCCCTTAAGGGGGGGGGGAGGTACTGTTGGGATCCAGGGGTTTGCCCTCCAGAGGGCGATGTGGATCCCTTTCTGTGGGTTTCTGTTTATCTGTTGGGATCGAGAGGCTTGCCCACCAGAGGGCGCCGTGGATCCTTTCCTGGGAGCTGGTGCTCAGCGCTCACAGCTGATCCCCATCAGCTTATTATTAAGCTCTCCCTATAGAAGCTGGGTGAGAGCTCCACTCTGAGCGGGATTGTTGAACTGAACTGTCCTTGCCATGGTAGCAAGCCTGAGCCACCCTGCCTGTTTGAACCTGTAAGTCTGAACCTGAACCTGTACCTGAACCTAGCCTGCTCTGTCTTCTCTGCCTCCCAGGAGGGAAACCTGTGTTTTTCCAATAAATATTGGACTTTATCCTGCCTCTGAGTCCGTGAGTTCTGCACCTGGGCTAGTAAAACCTAAAGAAATTAAAGTTCATTACAGAGCACTTAACAATATCAACATGTTAATTCATATTCAATTTAAGTCTTTTCAATTCAGCTGTTCATTATGGTGTCACCAGCTTTGTAAAGGTATATGATCCTTTCACAACATGGAACATGTTTTCATTTGGCTGTTTTGTTTAATTGATTAAAATTTGTTTTCCATACAAAAAAACATGTTTGCTGTAAAAAGTAAAGGTGAAAAGTAAAAATAAATCCCACCTAAGGAGATCTGCAATGCATGAATGTTTGATAAAAAGCTACTAGGGTTGATCAAGCTGACAAAGTCAGATATTTAGTGTCTTTTTCAGCTTATATTAAAATATGGTAGGCTAAAAAAAATCCAAATGTTCAAATGTTTTGAACTAGATCAACAAGTAGATATTTAAAACAGCCATGAGAAAAGTGATCTGTTGCCACCAAGGACAAAAACTTTTAAATCTAATATTTCACTTTTATGTAATTTAAAGAGACTTTCCTTAGCTGACTGTAGGAGTGTTGGAATAGATCAGACTCTTCAGTTACTGTAAGTCGCAGGATTCAGGCCACAAGTCCCTCGCTCTTATCTAAGCAGGATATTCTTCAGACTTTCCAACTCTGTAAGGCTTCTCTTAGACAACATCAGTTTCAGTCATTTGTATTTTGAACATGTGTCAAAATTTAACAGGACCCTTTGTATTTTAAGATTGGGCAATATCTACCAGATGTCTTTTATCTGACAAAAAAATGACATTTGTCCTTACTGGTCTTTCCCGTGAAAAAGGTTTAATGGTCATGATGATTTACACAGAGGCTTTAGGTTCTTTCATCTCTTCTCTTCTTTTTTACAGACGGTCATTTTCATAAGGGATTATAATGCACTTGGACACGAGGTATCTGGATATATAGACTACGCCCACAGACTCAAGTCAGAAGATTTTGAACCATATTTCTGTGGAAAGAAAAGGCTCATGCCAGGACGCTCAGATTTATGGTAAGTCTTTTTTTTTCTTCCCTCTTTAATTTTTTTGGAGGGGGTGAGGGAGAGCAGTATGCAAAGCAGGTCATTTCTTCTATTGAAAATTCTAAATAAATATCCGGAACTTCTTATAAGCATTTTCTACGGCCACCTGTCACATTTTGTCACATCAGTTGACCACAAACGTCAACTAAATTGGATTTTGTGTGATAGTTCCCTCACTTCTTTCGTTCTACACTGCTTTACACCATACTAACTCAATAAGATGCTTTTAGCTAAGCCTTTCCTTTCCTTGCTAGAGGGTAAGCTTTTCACCCATTGTTAAAGTCTGGGGAAATCATATTTAAATGTGAACTCATTCTGGCTTAAACATGTGCATAAATTTACTCTTTATCAGTCTATTGTCCCAAAGTTTAGAAAACTTCTATAAAAAAAAAAAATCCTGTCATAAAATCTCTGTTTTTTTTCTCATTATCCTATGCAGGCCAGTTAGTTATACGTCAGCCTGTACACCTAAATTCAATCAACGGTCATCTGTCAATCACATTTTTTCGGTCATATCATCTTGATTCATACGTCTAATATACGCAACGGTTGAAATAAGAAATAAAATGTATTATTTACTTTACCATTGAGTTCCTTCCCAGTGTTCGCTGGGATGGACGTCTGTGTCATCAGCAGGTGTAGAGCTAACAGAACTGGCAGCATTGCGAGGCAAGGGCTCAAACATGTACAGCTGTAAGCCTTCTACACCAAACCAAGCTTCTGCCACCCTGGCGTCCTCTTCCACAACAAGTTTGTCCCCTCTTTCCTCCTCTAAATAAAAAATGTTTGACGGAGGAAACTCCTCCATGACCTCCGACACAAAACTATCCTCCTCTTGCATGTTTCTGCTGTCCATAGGAAATGCAAAGTTTGGAATGGGCGTTTCCCTACGACTTTAAGTTCTTTGCAGGCACTGACAGTGTTTCTTGCTGTATTACCCACACAGCATCCCCAAGGCATGATGCTGTTACCAAAACTTCTCACCATGGCGGCTGTGGATTTACTGTTGTGTGCAACTTTATTTTCTGCTAAAGTTTTGTTTTTTTCTTTTTTAAGAATATTTACAAAAAAATTAATTTTGATCAGTAATCAACACAGCAGCTTTTTCCACATGTCTGGATTTAAATTATGGAGCATCAGTGTAAAAGAGGCTGAATCCAAATACACGCCACACTTATCAAATTTGTATCTGTATTTTTTTTAGTTTGATCTTCAGTGGAAGACATTTAAGTTTATAGTTGCAAAATTGCAAAATCTGTTGTAAGGACATGAAGACATTGTTTATAGATGATGGTATCTTATGCCTCTATGATTTTCAGCATTTTTTTCCAACGATTTTGATCATAACAAAACTATTTTAGCTGAAAAGCAAAAAAAAATATATCTATACACAAGATTTTTAGCATCTTGAAGTTTTTTTTTCTAAAGCATTTTTACTTTCTGCTTCTTCAGTAAGGAAAGAAGACACCTTCAGTTTCAAGAACAGATTAAGTTTGAAGAATGTTTGTTTTAGCTTGTGCTGATTTTCTCTGGATGAAGTTTCAGCAACGTGAGGTTCTATCAGCTGCTGCTAATTAACTTCACTTCTGTATCTGTATATCTCTAAAACTCTGAGTACAGGGTTGCACGGCATTCAGATCCAGAGCCAGTTACACGGTTTGCGGCACAATCCGCAAATGAACTTCTGAACTCACAGGTGTAAGCTAAAATCCTCTCCGTATCCCTCGCTCAGACATTTTTATATCTTTAGAGTTCTCGTTCTATCATCAGCCCTGTGTACACAGAGCGCTGTCAGCAAATCATTGGAGCCAAAACCATTCCCAAATTCCACATACTCATGCACTGTAACATGTTACCAACATGTCAGATATGTGTGAGAAACCTCAGAAGGACAAACACAACTGGCCAAAGGTGAGAATGACTGGTAATACATGATTGAGTTAACAGTTCAGCCAAATGTCAGACAACCTGTATAACCCCACTGTTAGTGGGTAAAACAGGGTCTCAAAGGAACATATGTAGGCACATTTAGGATTTACCCTTCAGAACTGTTATATGAAAATATAATAAAAAATTCTATCAAACCTAACACGCTTCCCTGAAAAAAAAAATACTATACACATTTATCCTAGAGATACTACACATGAAAACTGCATGAAGAGAGATTCCAGCAGGGATTTAACCCCATGACATTCTTGCTGTGAATCAGCAGAGTCATCAACTGCACCACTATGTAGGCCTTATCAAATTTATTATAATACTGGTCTGCATATAAGCCAGTGGACTCTTTTGAGGTCATCTTTATGTTTAAACATTTCACAAATGCTTTTATCTAAAGCAACTTACAAATGTGTGTATAACAAATGAGTTAATGTCCCTCTAATCCAGGGGTGGACAATTCCAGTTGTTGAGGGCCGGTATCAACTTTTAGATTCATCCTTGGTCCAACAAAACAGAATCAAATGGCTGAGATACCTCCTCAGTATGCAGCCATTTCCTCCAGAGTCCTCTCAATCATCTCATTACTTGATTCAGGTGTGTTGAAACAAAGGCACATCTAAAATCTGAAGGATACCGGCCCTCGAGATCCGGAATTGCCCACCCCTTCTGTAATCAAACATAATAACTCTGTCATCTTCCTGTATATATACATGTGGACGTCAATTTGCAACAATGGGTGTCAGGGGGTTAATATCACCACTTTTACATTTTAATAAAAGAAACCACCCATAGAATTAATTAGGGGTGTAAATAATAATCGTTTTGTATGGATGCATCGATCCAAAAGCCGACGATCCGATGCATCGACACGTCCGCAAGATAATCGATTCATGTTTTTTTTTTTCCTCCGGTCTATTTTTATCCATTTGCTCCTGGGCGTAATTCTCCCTCCCGTGCTGCGGTGCCGCTAAACCTATTTTGCCCTCCTACCTCGCTTCCTGGTTATACTCTTACAGCAGTGCGTTGCAGTAAGCTTGACACAGACATTTTTAAATTATGCTCAGTATTTAAGCGTGGTCTGAGCTACACACTGTCGGTCTAGATACGGCCGAGGCGGTGAAGAAGTGGGGGCGAGTTTAGTCCGACGGCGGAGGGACATGAGGGCAAAAAGAGCGGAGATCCAGCTGGAAAAAGGGTCCCAGCGTTCTCGCGCACCTCGCTCTTCTAGCGGGTCAAACTTCACGAGTTGTTTTCCGCAATTTCGGTCATAAAAACAAAACTAGCCGGCCTCCTGTCTGCTGCACTGTTTGCGGTCAGCTACAATGAGGGAGAGGTGCAGCGGAGCGTCTCTCAAGGGGGCGGTGACGTCGACACTCTGGAGCCTTCTTCTTCTTCGTCTTCTTTTTTTTAATGGCGGTTGGCAAACAACTTATAGGTGCATTACCGCCACCTTCCAGAATGGAGTATGGACCAGACAAACCCGTTCTTCTTAGAAAATTAAAAAAATACTACCAAAAACTACATCCCCAGATGCGCTTTGAAACAATTCCCTTATATCTAGTTTATTTTTATTCCTGTCTAACTCTCTACGCAACATCTCTATTTCCTGAGTATATTTATTACATTCTAAAAAAATATGTTGGACAGTTTCTCTGGAGCCGAGGTATTGCATTGAACTCATTACACTGATATTGTGCAGTATTTTTGCAGTATTTTTTGATGCAACTTTTCTACTTCTGTTGTTTGCTGTTGTTTCTAAAGAAAATGCATAATGCTATTACAGCTTTCATTGATTTATTTCAAACTTGAAACTTTGTTTGGTGTAAAAAAATAATAATAAAAAAAAATTTAACCGATGAATCGATTAATCGAATCGAATCGAATCGTGGTGTATTCTTGAGTATCGAAAATAATCGAATCGTTGGGTCAGGAAATCGATACTGAATCGAATCGCCATGATGGATGTGATTTACACCCCTAGTATTAATATATAAAATGCAACAAGTGCAGGTATAACGGATAGAAAGATTAATGAGAGGGTGAATACAGAGGTCAATTAAGCAAGAAGCCCAGTTAAGACAACTGCAATCCTCTACTCTACGATTAGTGGTCACGGATTAGTGGACCAGGGTCAGGATCCGGGCCCCTATACTTGACGACAGTGTCTTAACGTCACTTGCGCTGCTTCTCCTGTTTGTAAAGCCATTTGTAGTATTCGGCACCAAGCTGCACTTGACACAAATTACCCACTAAGCTGTGTCAGTCTGGGTTTCTACTTCTAGCTATTTAGACACAGCAGGCAAACCCGTGTCAAGACGCACGATGGGAAAGGAGAAGACGATGAGAAAAAGAGAGCAGAGAAAGTGTGGACTGCTGGAAGAACTGCTGTGAACTGGTCAAAGAAAAGTGAAATGGCATGCTCAAAGATGACCCTGAACATTTTGAGTATGTTTAGCTCAACCTACTGCTGTGAAGCAGTTTTCACCACCATGAACACAATCAAAAATAAATATCGATCCAGGCTCATGAATGAGCACCTTGACATGTGCTTGAGAATGGCTTTGTCTCCATTCAAACCCAGGTTTAAAGCCTTGCAGGGCAGCATAAAGCCCACTGCTCTCATTAAGCCAAGAAAAAAAGAAAAGAAAAAAAAGGTCAGTTTAGGTGTTTTATAAAAAAAAGTGAGTAAGGAAATTGTCAATATACCAAACTGAAAGATTGTTTTTCTCTACTTCAAAAACTAAATAGATTTTAAAATGGAAAAACATTCTATTTTTTTTTCCCGTTATATTATATATTTCAACTCTCCTAGAAAAGGAGGCAAGTGTCCGTCAAGGTCATTGTCTTGGATTTTCCAGATATATTTATGGGCTTCATTATGGTCAGCCCATCATCTTCAGCCTCCTGATCATGCTGACCTTCCTCTGTATCCTGGTCCTAATCAGGCTGCCTTATTCTTCGCTGTGTTTGAAGTCTACAATATAAATAATTTGTATAGTCATTCCAAAAAAGTTAAAAATCAAAAAACA